GGGGGGGGGGGGGATTGGTGAAGGTGAGGGAGTGAAGGGACTTGATCATGGCCGCATGGTTTATGGAGTGAGGACTGCTGGGGGAGGAATTGGCCATTTTAGTGTATATTTGACTTTTTTTGTCAGGTATATGTGGAGTAAATATTTGATGTCTGACATGGGGCTTTTTTTTGGGTTGGGGGGGGGAGGTAAAATTAAAGAGTTGAAGAATATTTGGGAGCTTAATTATCATATCACTTGGGTATATAGTTTGAGGGTGTTTAATGATGGGTTCATTTAACCCCACCTCCTCTACTAAACAACAATGTGTAGCTCCAGAGAGTATCCACACCTCTCCTGTGGAAGGGATTTTTCTAGGATCCCCCACCACTGGAAATTCCAGTTAGGCTTCATACATTTCTTTAAATATTTTGGTCTTACAGAATCCCACCACCCCCAGGAAATTTCAATCCCTCTTGTGAGAGGAGTATGGATATTTTCTGGAACTGCACAATTGGTTAATAAGCCATTTTTGTGACTCTGTGTTGAAATGAGTCTTCTGGTGAAACCATTCATATGAAAATGTGTTTGCCCCTCAGGTTCATTTTCATGCAAAACAAACTCATTTTGATGTGGAAGATTTTGCATGGACTCGTTTTGAAACAGAGGCACAAGGTTACTTGGAAATGGCCTATTGACTGATGTGGTCTATGTACACACATAAGAATTACTGTGACTATTCCACAGTCCCAGCCACAACTCCAATGGTGGGGTTGATTTTTTCTGAAACCCTTACACTTAGATATGCCATACTGATGAGTCCTGACCAGGATGAAACAACTGACTGTCCATGGCTGCTTCTCCTTGGGTAATTGGCTGAGCTCATGTGCACAGGTTTTGGTCAAACTGTGTTTAGAAAAGTTTAGTTTGACCAGTGCATTCAGTGGTTTATTCAACAGATTGGGTTGTGTTTCCTGAATTCACTTTCAGCAGAGAGAAACTCCCAGCATTTTAAGTGTTGGAAAGGAGAAATATGTCACACTGACAGAATATCACCTGCCCATCATTTTTTCCCTTGAATTCCTCCCTGGGGAATTCTAAATGCACTGACCCTGTGAGCACCCCAGCCCCACCACCCCCTACCCCAACCAGGGAAATTTAAATCAGAACTACACTGGCTGTAGCCTACACAGATGCTCTTTGGGCTCATCACATAATCTTCCTCGTTGTGTGTTAGGAGTGTACAATGGCTGCAGCCAAACTTGTATCCAGATCTTTACTTGCAATTATAGCACCCTTTTTGGCCCAGTTCTTATGAATTACTTTAACAAAGCTTTTTTCAATTTCAGATTTGACTCTAGGAATCAGTGTTGGACTTTTTATATTGTTTGTTGGGATGGCAATTTATATTTACAAACCAAGAAAGAGGTCTGTCAGAGGACTTTACACTGCTGTCGACCAACCCATGCCTGTTTGAATAATTCAAGACACAAGACATTGCCCATATTGGCTGAACAGGATGAGATTTCAACTTGGTGTGGGAACTCATGAGGATGCTTTCTTATTGTGAACATTAGGAATACAGAACTGATAAAATATTTATGGCTTACCTCTCATTATGGCAATGGCAATGATACTTCTGCTAAAGGATAAATCATGTCTGGAGGATACATGTGGTTGTCTTGAACTCTAGCTTGCAGTTAGCCAGTCCCAGTTTCTTCTCAAGTACAAATGTGTCAGCTAGGCAGGGCTGCCATTAAGGGCTGTAATGCATAACACCTCTTACTGCTGAATATGCTTGATTTTTCCTTGATACTATGGGTGAAATTGTCTGTTGATAGAATTCACCCACAAAGTAACAAGTTTGCTACAGGTGTGGAGAACAAGGCTACAGGTGACTCAAACCTTAGTGACAGCCCTGGTTAAGATGCAATACCAACGTGCAAGTGGTGTCCATTTTAACAGAAGCTGATCAACCAGTGACGGTCATTCCTAAAATGTAAAGATCATCCTTGAAAATTCTCAGCATTCTCCCATTTATCTCAATTCTTTGAACAAATTTTATGATGTCCCCTATATGTTTTCTGTCGGTTCAATATGCTGTCCTCCAAAACTAAGGTTCTTAGTTTTTTGCAGTTTTGTTAAATTTCTGGCAATTCTTACTTGAGTTATCACTTGTGTGTGTATCCAGCATGCTGCGCGATCAACTTCACAGATGGGCTCCTAACAAAGCAACTTAGCACTACACCGGAAGAATTTGAAAATGAAGATTTCACTCTGAAAACGCATCAAATGTTTCTGTCTAGTAAACTATGCCGAAGAAATTTAAAAACGCAACAATCACCTCCATTTTCAGAGCTTTTCAAAACCCAATGTTTTCAAATTCCTCCACTTTAGAGAGCATTTTTGAAAAGCTCCATTTTCCTGATGGATTGGTGTGGATGGTTGGACAAACTAGAAATGAAGCTGCGTTTTCAAATTTCGTCATAATGTAGATGCTGCCTTATTGAAGAGAATGAGAGTTATCATGACAGATGAAAAGAAAGTACGAGTTGAAACTAGTAACATTTAATGAGCAGGTATTCCAAATAAAATCCAACTCTAACAATGCAACTATTAAAGACTCTTTTATTTACAAATCGATATAAAAATAAACTAACAGAAATATTAATTTTCAAAGTATATATAGGTCACTACAAAACTATGTATTATGTAAACAATGAATAACTAAGGGTAGCCTTAGCGATTTAACATTGCTGCACTAAAATTGCCAAAAAAAAAATTCCATCCACATCAAGACGGAGCAATGTTTTCTTTGCAAAACTCCGAAGGATTTGCTTGGAATGATAAAAAACTGAGTAAATATAAAACATTATTTCATAGTTTTAAGCCCTTTCTGGAAGTGTAGATACCTTGAACGTGTTTCACAGCACAGACGCTTTGCATAAATGGTTCCTAAATTTGAATAACAATACTTTATACATCCTTAGCCTTGTAATTAGTGTTTCTAGACAAATGATTTTTCACATGAATGTGAGGCTTGGGATGTATAAGTATTGTTATTCAAATTTAAATATCATTTATTCTACGGAATGAAGAAAACAGATGAAGACAAAAGTCACTATCTTCCATTTGTGTTTATTAAGTGATTTTTGACTTCTTATACTCTTCATTTTTCCAGAAATAAGTTGGTAACCTTATCTAGAGCTGTCAAGTTGGACACTTAAACCCAAGCAACATCTGTTTGGCAAAACAAGGAGCTAATTACATATTTTCTTCCAAAATGTGTGACAAATCTGAATTCATCAATCATCGGGTGTGCTACAGGTAGAAATGAGAAATGGAGAGAAAAATGCAAATACTACTAACAGTGGAATAAGGATTGGGAACATCATGCTGCGTAAAACTTTTAATTTGTAATTAGAAATTCTCAAATGTCTGAAAGGTAAGTTGCCATTAATATTTATCAAATCCAGGCATTTCTGATCAACTTTCTTAATTCAGTGGCCAATTTCAGAATCCAGACATCAATGGTTTATTCTTGTTGCTGCCTTGTACTCTGGTTTTCAATTTTAGATGTGTAGGGACAAAATCAAATGTTATTTCAGGTGAGACCGAACACAATAATTATTCTTCATGAGTACAATGACCTTAGTACATTACTACGAATCAAAACTAATTTTTTGGCTGACAGAAAAAAACACAAAAATGAAACAACATTGTTTTGCACTCGAAACAAAAAGAAAGTCATGCTTGGATTTAAGCATCTGTTAGTGGGGAGAAACATGCCAACTCAACAGCTTAGATTGCGGCTATTTATTTAGGTGGGCCACTGTGTTTAACTACCGATTTACTAAATTCTGTTAACCCCCAAAATCATTTAATCAAACAAAGAAGTCAGAAACTGACCTTTCCAATCCAACATGGATTGTAACATCTACTAATGATTAAGGCTTGGATTATACTATCATATACTATCGAAGGTAACAATATTAATTTTGATTTACATCATCTTGATTGACAGTACCTGTTACATTGTTGCGAAGTAACACATGATGTAATCAACATCCACATGGTACCAAGCTAAAGTGATACCTTTCAAAATGCTTGCTGTCTCCCCTGCAGAGGTTGGGTTGCAGGATTAGGGGGCAGGGGGAGGGGAGAAAAAGGAGAAGGAAGCCATGCAGGATTGACAGGAGGCAGGTAAAACCATTCCCATCATTCCCTGTATGCTTTCCTTCCACTCTCCTCACCCTCCAGACTGCCAGCCCACACGTTCAAGACAGCACAGAAAAAACCTCTGCAGAGGAGAGACTGAGAGAGACATGCTTGTCTTAACCAGAAGTAGTTAAGCTATTTCTGCCAGTCTGTTAATTTGCAATATTGACATGTAATTGTTAATAACTGTTGTAGGTTACATGTAAAAGAAGACTGATATGACAAGAAAAGTTAGCTATTTACTCATGCTTAACAACATGGTAGTAGACTACTCTTGTTAACCCCCTTGAATTCCCCCATGTTAGATTTTTACCATAAAAAGGATAGATATTATAATTCTAATTTGTACATGTACCCACGTTGCAGTTTTTCTTAACCCTTTCAGCCACAACGTCACCATGTCTACAACAGGTCTACATATCTGTCTCACGGAAATTTCATACAATATAATGGCAAAATTTGGTGTTGCATAAGAACATTTCACTTGATAAATAGTTTGTTATTCCTAGCAGAAAACAAACTTAGTGAAGTTTGAAATAGGCCCCAGGGGTGGATCTAGGGGGAGGGTACAGAGGCTGCACCCCCCTTGAGATAAAACCCTCTTCTCCGTATTTGGTTTTAAAATTTGTACACCTCACCAGTCAGTTATGCTATTCCTTAGTGGTGCACCCCTCCTAAGAAAAATCCTGGATCCACCCCTGGGCCCAGATAAAATACATTACCTGCTATTATTTTGGCACTTACCAGTTATCAGAGCACCAATGCCTATTCGTTTTAAAATTTGTGCACCTCACCAGTCAGTTACGCTATTCCTTAGTGGTGCACCCCTCCTACGAAAAATCCTGGATCTGCCCCTGGGCCCAGATAAAATACATTACATGCTACTATTTTGGCACTTACCAGTTATCAGAGCACCAATGCTAGCTTAGCAGCAAAAACGAAATCATGCAACCAGTCACATTAGAGTTAACCACTTAACATGCATATTCTTTACAAATTATGAAATAACATACTGTGGTTTAAACATGTGTTATTCACATATTTGATTGTAAGCGATTGAATTACATACTAAACTATATGCGCAACAAACAAACTACATCTAGACAATCCTTTTTCTTTGTGCAACTGAATTACAAAACTTCATGGTATCATTGTTCTGAGGTAAATGTCTGAAGTTAAAATTATCCAAAGAAATAAATTGTCACCAAAGGTAACTTTCCAGTATGATCAACACAATCTAAAACGATTTTGATTTACTATTTTCTATTTTCGTTTTAGTATCAAAATGCCAGGGTAAATTTGTCCCTACTACATTAATTTTGCAATTTTGTCAACCATTCATTCAATATTCTCAATGTATTATGTGTTTCATTGTTAACTTTAAACATTTTAACTGTGACATTTGGGCAATTGATCCAAGTGTACTCCATCAAAGATTCAACCTAATTAAATTTTCTACCCTTTTCTTACTCAAATAAGAAAAAAGGCAACTACTTTTTCGTGATTTTAAAATTATTTACTAACCTGTTAGAACAAATCAACCAAGGTTGTCACCACAATGATTTGCATAACAACCTAAAGTTTCAAATATTGTCTTGTTACTGTAATCTAATTTCAATATTACCAGTTCAAAATAAACTTGCAGCTTAACCTAAGGAATGGATGGACCTAAGCTTAACCTAAGGTATGCATGGACATACCTTATAACCTAAACTTCAGAAAGCTTGCTAATTCCTTTAATAATTATTATTGCTTTGTTATTGAGATTCCTAATTAAATTTATCTTGATAACTAATTAAAGGGTTGATTACTTTTTTGAGTGACTGAAAAATATAAAAATTGTTATTAACTCAAAATAATTAATAATTATGTAACCTATTTATCCATGTTGATTAATGATCTGTTAACAGGCCCACACATCAAACAAAGCAGACAAAAAATGATTAAACAGCTTGGTTCATGTATGTTCAAACTTAATAGTTAACTCAACCTGGTACTGTTTAACTGCAAATAAATTTCTTAGCAAATGATAATAATATAATTTATACACTTACATACACTTTTCTAATGGTGCAAAACTTTAACTGACAAGCCATGTTATCACCTTTTTACCAAGCCAAGAAACACTATTTATCCAGTTCTTTGTATTGCTTTGAATCTGCCAGGTAGAAATCCTCCAGTTGCCATTGAAGGGTTTCAAATGTGGGCCGTTCCTGAGGCTCCTTTTTCCAACAGTCCATCATTATCTCGTACAACTTGTCAGGGCACAGGTTTGGTTTTGGCATTCTGTAGCCACGCTCAACATCTTCAACAACCTAAACCATAAACAATCAAAATGTAGTTTCACTCTGTCTTGATGTTTAGCTGGAAAATGCTATTTTTCTGCGGCTCTAGTCTAATTTGTTACAAATAATGATCAACACGCAAGGTGTTCGTAATCTTCAGATTAAAGAAAGACCTGCCCAGAGGGACAAAGGGATTCCTTCTCTTGTCTAATATCCCCTAGTTTGTGTGGTACACTGAAGACAAATTAACAGGGTTTAGAACTACCTTTTCTAAAGGAAAGGCTGTAAATGTAATTAACTCTCTTTGCACCCCAGTTATATGATAAATACATTATTGAATCATGGTCAGGCACGTTTACTCTGTTTACCTGTCTATTATTCATCCCAGCGTAGGGTACTCGGCCGTAGGTCACCAATTCTGTCAACAGGATTCCAAAAGACCACACATCAGACTTGATGGAAAACTGGTTCTTAAGGCATGCTTCTGGAGCAGTCCATTTTATAGGGAATTTTGCTCCTTCATGGGCTTCATAGATATCCTCATCAATGGCCCGTGACAGACCAAAATCTGCAACTTTAACACTGTTACGATGTCCAACCAGGATGTTTCTTGCTGCCAAATCTCTGTGGACATAGCTGTGTTTTTCTAGAAATGCCATGCCTGCAGCAATTTGGGCAGCCATATCAATCAGATCGTCCATCTTCTTCTGGCGTCCTTCGTCACCACGGAGATATTCAAGTAAGCTTCCATTTGGCATCAGCTCTGTCACAATGTAAATTGGCTCCTCTCTGGAGCAAATTGCATAAAGTTGTACCAGTTTGTCATGAATCAACTTCTTCATGAGCTCAGCCTCTTCCAGGAATGCTGTGGGATTCATTGTGCCAGGCTTCAATGTTTTGATAGCCACAGGGGTGGTGTCATTCCAAACTCCCTCCCAAACCTCACCAAAATTGCCGGATCCAAGACGCTGAATAAGCCTGAGTGAATCACGTTGTATTTCCCATTCATCTACAGTGTTATGTGATAGGCCTATGGTCTGGGGTTTTTCAGTCTGAAAAGGCATAATATTATAATAAAAAAAGTCAATCTGACTATTTCTTGAACACATAGCTACATTTATAGCAGGAGTTTGCTTCTTCTTAAGGCCGTACAATGACAGATGATTTAAAAACATGTCACACAAAACATCAAATAAACAGAAAATCTTGCTATAATTGTGCAAAGTTTTTTGGCCACTGAGATCTTGGCTTCCCTGTAGGATTCAATTTTACAAGGAGATAGCAAATGACAAAAATCATTTACAGAAGACAATATTGATTTAAACTCTACTTGGAGTATAAACAAAAAATTGGTAAAGATTAACTTTCAATAGTGGTTGGCCAAAAATTACAAAATGAGACGTGTATATTTTCGATAATTTTCAAACTTAAACACTGTCTAGAGGTAAGTCAAAGTATCCAGAGGGATGGTTGCACAGTTCAGCGCATGTGCAAGCTGAGACGTAACCACCCAATTCCACTGTGTATAATTAACCCAATCAGATGCGAGTAGAATAATGATACCTCACTCGTCTGGTCTAGAATAAAAGCATCGGGCCAAGTAACAAATTCAATGTTCAATTCTAAATTTGCCATTTTCCATCTAACTCTGTTTTATCTTACGTAAAATCTGGACACCAGTCATTATGCTAGCCTTTGTGTAGCCCTGCAGTTACTCAAAGGCTATCATTTTGCAATTGCTTTCACGAAATTAAAGGTCTGTGATTTCTGATATTCATCTTGTTAACAGAAAAATGAAAATGTGTGTTACGCATGGAGTAGGAACATATGAAAGGAACTCTAATGAGAAATCTCCTCTTTATGTCCTTTATTGTCCGGTTTTCACTTCTGACTGTGAAATTTTCAAAGGCAAATTTCCTGCAAGAGTCATTTGCAGGCTTTCGATTGTTTTATACACAATGAAACTGAACGGTTAACATTGGAGCTTGCACATGTGCCGAGCCTTGAAAACGTCCCTTTAACTTTATACTACCGATAGAAATTACACATGAAAGGAATTAATAAGCTTATCTTAAGAGCCACTCACCTTGACACATGCTTTTTTAAGAATATCGCACAATCCATCTGCAGTTCTAGTATAATGCTGAATCAAATCCGACAGTGAGGTGAGGGGATTGTTGTGAGCGATAAAGAAATTGCCAGTCTCGGTGGTGCGAATTTTGTAATGCTTCACCATGTCACCATCCTTCACAGACAAGGCATAACCCCCCTTGTCACTGTCACGCACCAAGAATGCTCCATGTTCATTGGGTGGTGTCTTCAATAACTTTTCTGCTTCTGGTCGCTTTATGTCACCAAAATACCAACTACGCAATAAAAGAAGAAAGGGAAATTGAATGAGAACAACGTAAATTACTTTCTGTAACCACCTACGGTATCCACTTCTTCCCTGATTTTTGAATGATTGTACAAAAAGCAGGTAAACTCAGGGTAAATTCAGTTTGGAAAAATTGCTAAGTACTGCAGTCCCATTTAGGCCACTTCCCTGGAGGACACCACCAGTATACCAGTCAGACTTGGAAGCAGCTGAACAAGTATGGTTATGTTTACAACAATGAATTTGGTCTCTGGTCGCTTTCATGCTTTCTGTGCATGATTAACTGGTAGAAAGAGCTGATTTGTTCAAGTTAGTCTGCTAACAGACTAATATGGGACTAATTATATGTTGACTGCTTGTAAGTTGGGGACGGTAGAATCTGTTCTTGCACAAGAACTATTTGGAATCAGTCTCACACGGTCTTGCCTGAGATAGAACCAAAAAATTTTATATAATGGTAAAGAATTTAATAGGTGATTATCAGTTGACTATCCTTAATAATGGAAAGAAGTACTCAGTGCTTAGCATTTTAACTTTAGCATGACTGTTAAAACCTAGTTTATGTAAATGATACGTAAAATACTTCTTGTGCACAGTCTCAACAAGGTCAATAATATTATTGTGCAGTTACTGTACATGTGAATCCCTTGACAACCAAGTGGAAATTTGCATAAGTATCAGGAAGAAAGACTGGATGCTGAAATGCCAGTAGGTGATGATCCATCTTGTGTTAATCCTTGCTTTGTTTAAACAATTTTCTTTAGGATGTCTTTTATACTCATTTCAGGCAATTTTACTGGGCCTTCCGTGCACATCCATAGCTACCTAAGTTCTACTCAACCTCATCAAGAGAACAATTTGTTTTCACAAGTATGTTAGTTAATATTCCAAAGCATATGGACAATTAGAGATAATTTTCCTCTTTTGTGTAACAAATATGTTTTGCAGACAGTTCTTTTGAATCGCTTAAAGATCTCGCGAGAGAAACAGTCCAAAAATAAAGCATTGTTTCAAGGAAGAACAAGTCGAGGCAACTAAAGCAACAACAATTTCCGGGTGTTTGATCATTGAGACCCCATTACTTGATGAATCATAAATATGTAACGTTATACTTTCTTTCACTTTTTAACCTTCAGTTACTGTAAGTTTGACAGAAATATCCTTTAAAGCAGAACTGAATCAAAGAACTGCCAATTAAAATTGAAATAAAAAGGGCAAAAGACTGAGCAAATTCAAGCTTCAACATGAATTCCAAAAAAGTAAGCTATTTAGGTGACCTCTTGGTCAGTCTAAACAGAGAACACATTCCAAACCACATAACTTTGACTTTCGCGTGTTCGTGCCTCTCTATCTCTCTTTTTAATTACATAAAATAGTCTTGTAATAAAAAAAAAGTATAGGATGTAGAATTGACTTACTCTTCTGCATCCAAAGATTGGACCTCAGCCACATAGTTGCTTGGAATGAAGCCTTCGCGGCCAGTATCTCGAGACCGAGCTTTCCACCAATCGTTTCTTAAAGTCTCGGGGTATACTTCAAGAACCTCACCCTTTTCGAAGCTCAAATCTTCCTCTGTTCGTGCATCATAGTCGTAGAGAGCAACGTAAAGGGGCTTTACAGCACTTGGCGGTGAGCTTGGCGGTTCTGGAACGTATCTGCCCTCTTGATCGGGTTGAACTCCGGTAACATTTACCTCGGGCGTAATTTCTTTCAAACTTGCCGTGGAATTAGGGCCATTTTGCCCGTTCTTAACGTCACCTCTTCCGTCCACATGGGTCTCCTTACCCATGCAGCCTCCCATGGGTAAGAAAGAATCAAGACCAGCACCCAAAAATCTGTATACTTTACAACCTGGTCTCTGTGTGATCTCGAATGTTTCTTCAAGGGACACAGTTCCGGGATTGCGCACTCCCACTATTATCTCTGCCCAGGCCTTCACTCTCGATTCCAGTCGAGGGCACATTGGTGACTAGCTCCCCTCCCAGCCTTGCGCAGCTCACTGATCACCTTCGGTTTCCTCCCTTGGATCAACATTACTTGAAGAGTTATTTCTGCATTTCTACCTAGACTTATACCTTTAGCTCTTAAATTCACTAGTTTCCGAAACGGGGAAAAGTCAGTTTGCGTTTCGCAATTTTTGGAGCAACCATGGGTTGCTGCTGTGGAAAGACGAAGACGAAGAAGAAGTATGAAACTAAGGGTGAGTCTGGCAGAAACTTGCCGCCAAACAACGGCCAAGCGAATGATACGGAAGCCCAGAAACGTGTCTCCGCTCCAGCAGAGAGTGTGAATTTCCACCAGCCGTCTTCTATTATGTCCAGTCATTCGATGATGCAGCCGTCCAAAGGCATAACAGTGTTTGTCGCTCTGTATGATTACGATGCGCGTACCAACGAGGACCTGAGCTTCAGGAAAGCCGAACGTCTTCAAGTAATTGACAACACGGATAGCGACTGGTGGCTGGCCAAGTCTCTAACCACTCACAAAGAAGGCTATATCCCAAGCAATTATGTGGCACCTGAACTAAGTGTGAACGCCCAGGAGTAAGTATTGTAACTTTTTTATTTTCGTATTGTTATGCGCATGAAGCCGGCCAGAAGATTATGATCCCCGACTGATCTTTACACATCCTTTAGCTATACCGGACGTGGATAGTTTTATGATCCGTCGCCCACCAAATTAGCCAGAAAGCTTAACACATTTAAGGAAGCTGTGTTAGATCTCGCAGAGTTTGGTTCTTTCACACATGAATGCATAGTTGCGCAAGTAATAAACCTATTGAATGGTGGTAAAATTTGGATCACTCCATCCCGTGCGCATTCACGAGGGTGAAAGTTTCATTTCCATTTACCATGTGTGATGCTTTGGAAGCGATCCAGGGGTTTTCGTATGAATGCTGGATGTCTCGCGCTCTGAAATTTTTCAGATCTTGTTCCAGCTCGCCTGAAACGCAGTTTTACTTCCGGGATAAAACTTGTTGTCATTTGATGGCTTCCATCCCTTTGAGCATTTTTTGTCATGCAGATAAACTATTGTGTTCTTGGAATTTTAGATTTTTGGCAAACTTTCAGCTCTAGTTTGAGGAAGTGGTTTTGACAAGATGTAATCTAAGTTCTTAAATGTCAAGAATTAATACTTTATTGTTTCTTTATAAAGAAAACTTTTGCCAATAACTAACTGTGTTTTGTATTTTTTATCAAATTATGTTTATTAGTTACTTGTCTGGTTGCTACAATGTATGTTGCAAACTGTCTGGTTGGGTCATTTATTTTTTCTTGTGCTGACTGCAATGCAAATCAGCGTTCGATGGCGTTCAAAGTTGTCAATTTGTTTTTTGTCAGCTTTTGTTTCGTCTACACAGCTGTTGTCAGTAGTTAATGACTGCAGCCTGAGCAGATGTCACTTTATGTAGCTTGCAATAATGAAGCAAGTGAAACATTGTGCGCTAGATGAACTGGAAAACTAGTGAAATAATTTTAAAAAAAAACAGTAGTTTACACCCGTTACCTTTCAGAGGTCCTCTGAAATATTCCTTAAGTAGCATCATTGTTTATTCCTCAACTCCAGGAAACATTTAGAGTAATTTTGTAATTCTGTACTAACTCATTCATTTTTTCTAGGTAAGTAGGCTTCATGGTATAAATGTACCAAACAAGTTCTGATGTGGTTGTAGTTGATCGGTTGAATTCACTTATTTTTGTTTTTGGTAGCTGGTTCTTTGGCAAGATAAAACGTGCAGATGCTGAAAAGAAGCTTCTGGCCCCTGGAAGTCCATCTGGCACTTATCTTATCCGTGACTCGGAGACCATGCCTGGTAATTATTCATTGTCCATCAGAGATGGAGATAGTGTCAGACACTACCGTATACGCAAGTTGGACAATGGAGGCTATTATATCACTACGCGGGCACCTTTTGCAAGCCTTTCAGAGCTAGTTGAGCACTACAGTGAGGATGCAGATGGCCTGTGTTGCAAACTGGCTTATCCATGCCGTGCAGAAAAGCCTGTCACTTCTGGCCTCTCTTATAACACTAAAGATGCTTGGGAAATTTCTCGTGAGTCCCTGAGATTGACCAAAAGACTGGGTGCAGGACAGTTTGGTGAAGTGTGGGCTGGAGTCTGGAATGGAACGACACACGTTGCTGTTAAAACACTTAAGACAGGAACCATGTCACCTCAGGCATTTTTAGCAGAAGCGGCAATAATGAAGAAACTGAGACATACAAATCTTATACAGGTAATACATATACCTTATATTAGGGGGCTAAAGAATTTCAAATAGGTGTGTTGGCAAGTGACAAGAATATAACGTAACAGTGGAATCCCAATTTCTTGAACCCTCAATGGATTTCAAGATATTGATGTTTTGGAGTGAGGCAAATCCAAGGAAAACTGTGATAAATGCTGATGAAAGTGCTGAAAAATTACAAAGTTTTCTTTCCATTATCAATTCCCAGACTGCAGAAAATACTTATTATTGTTTTGTCTTCTCAGCTTTATGCAGTTTGCACAAACGAGGAACCGATCTACATTGTAACAGAGTTAATGAAGCATGGAAGCTTGTTAGATTATTTGAAAGGAGACGGCAAGAGTCTGAAATTGCCAGAACTGATTGACATGGGGGCACAGGTGGCGGCTGGTATGGCATACTTAGAAAGGATGAATTACATCCACCGTGATTTAGCAGCAAGAAACATCTTGGTCGGAGATGAAAATGTCTGCAAAGTTGCTGATTTTGGTCTGGCAAGGTTGATCGAAGATGATGAGTATAACCCCCATCAAGGAGCTAAGTTTCCCATAAAATGGACTGCTCCTGAAGCTGCACTGTACAACAAATTCACCATCAAATCAGACGTGTGGTCGTTTGGAATTTTGCTGGTCGAATTGGTAACACATGGTCGTGTTCCTTACCCAGGCATGACAAATGCCGAAGTGTTAGCCCAAGTGGAACGTGGCTACAGAATGCCCAAGCCCATGGATACCCCTGATGCACTCTACGGCATTATGTTGGAATGCTGGAAGAAGAATGAATGGGAAAGACCAACATTTGATTACCTTCAATCCCTGTTGGAAGACTACTTTGTTTCAACGGAGCCTAATTATAAGAAGCTGGATCCATAATCTCTTGGTGAGTTGTAATCTACTTTGCCTGTTTGCCAGTTCTTGTTGAACAAATCTATGGCACTCACAACTTAGTACTAAGTCTCCTTAACTGACTTAACTGCTTTCAAAGATATTGAAATGCTCTTGCAGTGCCAATGAAATTGAATTTTTTTTTCTAGAGCTTCAAGGTAAGTTCCACTAAACTGGGGGCCACCTTTTCACTTATAAGAAAAGCGGTAGACTCTGAATTATGTCAAAACTGTCACTCAGGTGATTTAAGGGTTTGAGACTTTATCTCACTCACTGGCGAGTACAAATCCCCATCCCTGAAATGAACTAGCGAGAGAAGTTCATGTAGCTCAGGAGAAAAAGTACTGGCAGTGGCAGGCAGTTGGATCTACATGTAACAACATCCAGTAGTATAAAGTGGTAAACTCATGGTGGTTATGTGACTTAATGCTTGAGGTAGCCTATGATGGAATAGCATCCTGTCCAGAGAAAATGGCAATCATCCTAGTTGCTGGAACCAAACTGCTGGCACTGTTGGGTCATGTGTCCCTCTATACAGCAGGGCTGTCAACAAGGGCCATAACCCGAAGCACCTGTTACAGCTGAACATGTTTATTAGACCCTTGATATTACAGGTGAATTTGCCTGTAGTTGGTACAGTTCACCTACAAAGTAACAAGTTTGTTACAAGTGGGAAGACCAAGACTACAGGTGACTCAAAACTTAATGACAGCCCTGTACAGGAGATGGCTTTTTTACAGACTTAATTACTTCCTAGTGATAATAAAAACTATGATAGTGGAATACTTTAGTAGTTCTGTGTTGGTGTGCACTGCCATTATTTCCTCACTCTTTGTGTCCTTTTTGTCCATCTGCAGAATGCAAGATCAGTCTTCTACAGAAAATGACAGACAGTAGAGAAGTACCTTCAGAACACTATTTTTACATTGTTGTACTTTTTAGCAAAGTATTCAAATTATAACTCACAATTTCTCAGTGCATGTCACAAGGAATAAGCATTTTAGCTTATAGGAAGAAATTTTATAATAACATTACCCAGAGTGTTAATGACACTAGGCAAACTAAAGAATAATTTATTAGAGTTGCTTCATTCATTAGAAGTGTACTAGCTTTTCTTTCAATGATAAACTGTTTTTGATACAGTAAAATTCAGCTTTGGCAGCAAGGCCTAGAGGACTTGAATGAAGGAAATTGAATGAGTGTGTTTGTTCATTTCCCTTGTTTATACCTCTAGACCTCTCTATCAAGTGGAATTTTAATATATCGCAAAAAGCCTACTGAGGCTCACAACTTACTCATTTTTGCTATTTATTCATTAAATTACAAGTTATGTTGAACCAACAACTGTTGATATGTTCACGGCCTTGTACATCTACTGGCACAAAGAGCAGTGATGATGATGATGATGATGATGATGATGATTTCGTGATATGTTCATCTGCACTACTGGGATGAGGATCTTGTCCAGTTCTTATGGACTGGTTACAAGTTTGAACGCTCAAATTTGGTTTGTCATTCATGAATACAGCCTCCTTTTTTTCATGCACTGCTGCTATGGTGATGATTGATTCCATCTTAGTTCACAGGCTAGCTTATGTGTAGTTTGTTGTACATTTTAGCAATTTAACTCCCTTAGTGAAATCTCTGTTTTAATAAACAGGCACATGCCTGACTTTTAGTACAGCATGGAATACATACATGTACTTGTTATGTATCTTGGATTTCAGTATAGATAGGTGTCACTTTCTGGGAGGCTGTCGTCAAATATTCTAAGGGACAAGATACCTGGAGCAACCTTAACATTTCACTGCCTAAGAGTCGAAAAATTCCCAAAATGAATAGGGTCATGAGAAATTACTTTTCTGTGTCTTTTATGGAGTAGTAAAACTTAACGATCTCAACGGCAGCATCAAAATTTAGAATCATAGTGGAGGGAAGTGGTTACAGTGACGAATTTAGCAAAAACTGCATAAACATGATCCAAGATAAGTAAGCTTTTAAATGTTTAACTCAAATTTATGGCAATTTAGTGGCATTTGTGGATTATTATTAATTTTGGTGTGCTGTACTGGTATTCTTTTCATTATCTTTATCTTGGACTGTTGATTAGTGGGGCAGTGTTGTTCTACTGCTGGAAATCTCTGCAGCTTTTGCAATATCATTAGAAAGAACCTAAACTGTTTAATTGAAAGCTAGCATTCACCCAAGTTGGATGAAATATTACAAAGGCGACCACGTAGTTTATTGAACTGTGATACTATGAAGTTATTGACTGTAAATACATGTGCGACTACTGAGATGATTGCAATGTAATGTGTGTTTTCTCCCAGTAGCTGAGTTAAAATGCAGCCAGTTTTATTTACCTACCCACCTTGTTTCATGGATTTTGTGTAGTTAGTGGTAGCTGCAGCAGCAAGAGTGACATTTTTGTAGAATTAGGCATAAAAATCCATACTTTAACACCTTGAGTGCTAATAACTCCTTAAGTCCTTTCCTAAATAAACCGATTTATTGAATGTTCATTTGTATACATTGTAAATAATGTCATAAAAGTTTTTTTTTTTCCATTTATTTCCATATGAGGAATAATACCTTGTACACCAATCATTGCTATTTTGTTTAATTGTGTTATTTACAGTAGGAAAATATATATTTTTTCTTTTTTAATTAACTTCATCAAGTTTTTGTCATAGTGATTTTCTTTTCAATGGCTAAAACAGTCCATGTACAGTACAGTATGTTATAAAATCTATTCTTGATTTTCTGCCATATTCTCAGAACTAAAATCCAATGAAAGTGTACAATGTAGAAGTTAAGTAAGGATAACTGATGTTTTGAATATATGACAGAAATGACTCTGTATATATTGTTACTCAGTGGCATAGAGGTCTAGTTTTAAGGTAGCTCCCTATAGTTCTATGATTGCATGCGCGCATGAAACAAATCTGCGTGTGCTTGAAGGAAAACGTAAGTTTTTTTTTATTATTTTTATGACCTCAACATGAGCACAAAAAGCAAAACTGACTGTGAATTTTCTAACGTTTTCTTCAGTGAATTTTTTTAAAATTTGGCTCGGTTGTAACCACACACACTTCCTATAAAACACCCTGTTTTTGTTAAAATC